GTAATTCCAGAACATGGGAGGCCGAGGCAGGTAGATCACAAGGTCAAGGGATGGAGACCATCCTGGCCAACACGGTGAAACCCCGTTTCTACTAAAAATACAAAAATTAGCTTGGTGTGGTGGCACGCATCTGTAGTCCCAGCTACTCAGGAGACTGAGGCAGGAGAATCACTTGAATCCAGGAGGCAGAGGTTGCAGTGAGCAGAGATCATGCCACTGCACTCCAGCCTGATGACAGAGTGAGACTCCGTCACAAAAAAAAAGTCACCTTAAAAATAATTTCCCATGTTTTAACTAATAAATATTTCTAAAATAAATTGGATAGCTTCAAAAAACAATACTTTTTAAAAGACAAAGGCTGAATTACATGATTACAGAATCTAGTGAAAACTAAATAAAGAATAAAGCTATTTTTTCCCTTTTCAAAACTGTACATTTTATCTAAAAATGTACATTTAGAAAACGTAGATATGCAAAAAAGAAGAAAAATCACTATCACTACCTGTGACCAAATCAACAAACTTTAGACATACCATTGTTAAAATTTGTTATATCATGTCTGATTATTTTTCTGTTCATTTATACAGATATGTACTAATAAGATCATATGCATAAAGTCTGTCACTATTTTTTTCTTGTGGTCATATATTTTAAAACATTTTCATGGTATTATAAAAGTAATTATCATTTTAATAACTATATAGTAATTTATTATAAGGCTTATATTCTATAATTAAATAATATCTTGCTGTTAGAGATTTAGATTGCTTTTCATTTGTTAAATTATAAATAATGCTCCACTAAGCATTCTTTACCTTACTGCTACCTTAGGATAAATCCTAGAACTGGAATTGCTGAGTTAAAGTATATGTATATTTCTTGGGTTTTTGATATATAATGTCAACATATCCTCCAGAAAGATTTGAACAAATATTCAGAGTATATATATACATATATATGCATATACACACAGATAAATAACACATGAAGTCATAAAAATCTAAATATTAAGTAACTCATAAAAATCTAAATATTAAGTAACTCATAAAAATCTAAATGATAACTGTATATGTTAACAGGATTAATAAAAACCCTGTAAAAAGAAAAGAAATGATTGCATAAATGAATTCCAAATACTTTTGTGGAAATACACAAGGCAGAAAATGAAACAAAAAATCTACTGATAATTCAAAGAATGAAAGTTAAGTGTTTGAATAGTATTTACAACTAGTTATTCTGAAAGAATGTCTAGAATATTAATAGATAATATCATCACACGATTCATATACTATAAACAGTTTTGCTGCAGCAAAATGGCAGACATAACCCAACAGTAATTTTAAATGAAGAACATGCTTAGAACAAATCAGAAGAATAAATTACCTGAGATTTTAAAGAAATATATTTTTCTATTATACTATTCTTTTTTAGTATCACCTGAATTATAGTTTATTATTTCATCTCCAAATTCCAGGTATTTTTTTCTGCAATAGAGTAAGCATTGCTCCTTTCAGAACTCAAAAGGAATATCAAACATCTCACTACGTCTTCTTTCAAGTGCCCTTTAAGGACAACCTGCATAAAGACAACTAGGAAACTTCCTAAAAATATCACTTCACAGAGCCTCATTCTTGAAGATTTTGATTGTCCCTATTGCAAACAGTGCCCAAGAATGTGTATTTTTCTAATACCCAGGTGATGCTTATGAATGCTAAAATTTAGGTAACTTGGGTTACTATTGTAATGATTGAACAGGGCATGAAAGGGCATTATTCTCAGGCCAACCTCCAAACAGTAAGGTACCTGAATGGATACTCAGGTAATTATTCTTGACTCTTTCTACTTAGACACCAAGGATTTATCTCCTGAATCTGTCTATTTCTTTCCATCTCCATTACTTCCCTGTTATTCAGGCCAACATCATCATTTTCTTGTACTATAAGAGCTCCTAATTAACCATCCTGCCTCTAGTGTACCTTTAAACTATCCTTTATGATCTTAGAGTATGCTTCCCCAAAAATTCCAAATTTAATAAGGCAACTATCAAAAATGGATCAGTGACTCACCATTGCCCCCAAGATAAATTCCAAACTATTGTAGCCATACTAAACTTTTAATTTTTCTAATAAACTATGATTCCTTACCTTTGTTTATTCCCTCTCTTGAATCACTGTTCCTTTGACCTCAAAGCAGTATTTCCAACATTTAAACACTATTATGTTACTACACACAATCCATGGCTCTCTACTGACTAATACATTCAATTTCCAACTTCACGATTTCAGCTGGTCAAAGAAAATCCTATACTAGATGCTCAAACAGTATAACTGGAGCTGCTCTGGTTGCAGGTAGTGAGAGATATCAGGAGCTCAACTCCCTCACCTCTTTTCCACCCCAAAGCAGCCCCAAAGGAGCCTCCACAGAACATAATTAGATTTTAAAAAACTGAAATCTGGATTCTGTTACATAGCAAACACTTTAATCCATCTATCTTTTCTGAATTATCTTCTGGTATTATGACATGACAATTTTACAGATATTACACAAAAAGCAACATACTGTTTTATACTTTGATTCACAAGAGGTTTCTTTTTTCTTTTCTTTCTTTTTTTTTTTTTTTTTGAGACGGAGTTTCACTCTTGTTACCCAGGCTGGAGTGCAATGGCGCGATCTCGGCTCACCGCAACCTCTGCCTCCTGGGTTCAAGCAATTCTCCTGCCTCAGCCTCCTGAGTAGCTGAGATCACAAGCACGCGCCATCATGCCCAGCTAATTTTTTGTATCTTTAGTAGAGACGGGGTTTCACCATGTTGACTAGGATCTCGATCTCTTGACCTCGTGATCCACCCGCCTCAGCCTCCCAAAGTGCTGGGATTACAGGCTTGAGCCACCGCGCCCGGCTCACAAGAGGTTTCTTTTGCCTGCAACTCTCTTCCCCCAACTTTGTCTCCTTGGAGAATTACTAATTCTTCAAGGCTCTGCTCTTGAAGAAATGTCCCAGAGGCTGAGTTAGGCTCTGCCACATATTTGCAGTGCTTGTATGAAAAAACCTCTTGTATAGCACTTAACATACTTACTATAAATCTTTTAGTCTAATTCTCCACGGGACTGTCAACAACTTGGGTGAAAGTCTTTATATCTTTTTCTTATTTATAACCCCAGTTTCTAGAACACTGTCTGATGAGTAGTATATATTTAATGTTTATTGAATAAAAGATAGATGTTATTAACATCCTAAATAAGACTTGGTGCTTAATGAGGTAAAGCTTTAATTCAAGTTTTTAAAATTTTTAAATACTTTAATCAAAATGATAAAGTGAAATTATGCTTAAATTGACTTATTAATAAATTGTTGAATATCTACTGTGTTGTACAGATAATAGAGAATTATTGAACTATGGGATTTTATAGACAAAGGAGTCAAAAATAATATACATTAAACTTTTTGACAATGTAAGAACATAATACATTGTGAAAATGAGACTACATATTCCATAGATTTATAATCACTGATGGGGAAAATCAGAAGTAAAAGCTTCTTAAGTAATTAGATAGGATAATTTAACATCCTGATGTTGTAATTGAGAAAAGAGGGACCTAGCAGAAAAGAAATTAGAAAAATATACAAACAAACTTTGGAGTCAATGGAAGGCATGTTCAAAGGAAGTCAAACATAAGACAGGCCTTTAAGAATGGGTAGAACTCACTATGGTCTAAGACAAAAATCAAAGTATTTCATGAAACGAGAAAATGAGTGGGGATGTTAATAAGAGGCAGGAAAGGTTCGAGAGCCAGTATTCAATGTGATTTGAACACAGAGTTGCGGGAGAAAAGACTGAATGGATTTTACGGCACCAGGTTTCAAAGAGCTTCTAAAGCCACGCAGAGGACTTCATATTTTATGTGATAGAAAACAAGTAACCAGAAATCTTAACAGATTAAAAGCTCTAAAAATTCTAACTTTTTCTGCATTAGGGGCAAATAAGCCACAGAACAATTATATGATTTCCTCAATTAGGAATAGTATAAAATAGCCCACTCAAACTCTTTTTACCACATAATGCTGCTGCTATGGCAGTACTTCAATGAACAATTCATTCAAGCACAATGAGTAAATGCTGCTGAGCTTGGCTATTTCCTAGGTTCTAAACAGAATTTGTATGAAGGAGGGCATATTCTCTCATGAGGAAAAATTCTTGCATGTATTCAAATATGAATTCTTGACAAAGAAAACTGTGTCCTTTGGATATTTATTTATTTAGAGACAGGGTCTAATTCCCACTTGGGCTGGAGTACAGTAGCATGATTACAGCTCACTGCAGCCTCCACCTCCTGGGCTCTAGTGAGCCTCCCATTTCAGTCTTCCCAGTAGCTGGGACCACAGGTATGCACCATCATGCCTAGCTAATTTTTTTATTTTTTTGTAGAGACAGAGTTTCACTTTGTTACCCAGGCTAGTCTCAAACTCCTGGGCTCAAGCAATCCTCCCTCCTTGGACTGCGAAGTGCTGGGATTACAGGCATAAAACACCACATCCAGCCATGTCCTCTGGTCTTAAAATGACAATTTTTCAAATGTACTATTAATTCCTTACAAAAAATATGCAATTGAGATTTCATATGAAACATACTGACAGCAAAAAAAAAAAAAAAAAAGTTTATGAGCTTCAAGTCAGTGAAAGCTTAGGAAAAAAAGTTTCAACCTGAATTCTCCATATTGAATGGGCATAAATTTTAGTACTTTACCTCCATCACAATCATGTTCAAAATAAGTATTTCCAGAAAAAAAAAATAGTAGAGAATGTGCTCCATTCTTCAAACTTAAACAGATTTTGGTCCCATATATCTGGAATTGATTGAACCAGCATATTAAGAAGACAAATTAGAAAGATTCAACCAAATGCATCCATTGAAAATGTTTTTTAAGGACTGAGAACCATGTGTGTTGTGCATTACCACATTTATGACAGCACATCTGTGATTGCTCACCACTATAACTTACCCCAGTTTTATCACACAAGCGTAAAGTATGAAATGATCCAACAGCAAATAATTCTCCATCTGGAGCCCAGGCAACTGAAGTAATAGGATGCTCATGAGGTTGTGAATTGTACAGCAGGCGGCCATAACTATCCCATACCTACAAAAGCAATTTTTAAAAATCTTTTATAATATCAGGGAGAAGTTTGCCAAAACTGAAAGAAAAATAAATAAATAAAATAAAAATATTTTATAACAGATACTGCAGAAAAACAAGTTTGTCTTCCAGTAAGGTAGCTAATAAAAATTTAAAAATCAGCACCTTATTTATTAGCAATTAAACACCTTTACCATCACACAAGGGGAAAACAAAGATGTATTCCTTGAAGCCTAAATATCTCAGAAAGAAACTATTTTATAACATTGTCAAAATTTTCAGATTTTACTTAATCTCTGAACATAAAATCTATCCATTTTAAGTCCTTTTAAATTTAATAGTACATTTTGACATGTATATGCTGCCACGCTTGGCTAATTTTTTAAATTTTGTAGAGACAGAGTCTTGTTATATTGCCTAGGCTGTTTCTCCAACTCCTGGCCTCAAGTAACCCTACTGCCTTGCCCTCTTAAAGCACTGGGGTTACAGGTATGAGTTACCATACCCAGCTTGCTTAGTATTTTGCTTAAATTTTTTTCACCCTGTAAGGGCTCTACCTACTTTCTCTAAAAGTATTTACTTCAATTTAATTGCCTCTAACTCTAGTTATTTATATATTAAACCTTATTTTTCTCTACAAATTATTTTGACCTGAAATTAATCAATATTTAGTAAACCAGCAGGGTTGATTTTTAAAAACGCACTGAATTCATTTAAATTGAGTCACACTAAAATTAGGGGCTATGCTGATATTATTACTTATTAAATTCCCAACTCTATAATTTCACTGTGTTGCCCAGGCTAGAATGCAATGGCACAATTATGGCTCACTGCAGCCTCGACCACCTGTGCTCAAGTGATCCACTTACCTCAGCCTCCCATGTGGCTGGGACCACAGATGTGCCCTACCATACCTGGCTAATTTTTTTTTTTTTTAAGAGATAGGGTCTCACTATATTGTCCAGGCTAATGAGTCTTTATGAAGTCTGTGCTTTTAGATACCACTTAACATTATAAAATAATTTGCTAAATTACCGGAGTATAAAGACATGGCTAAAGTAAAAGAACATTCTTATATACTAAAAACTTTTCATATAAATTTGATTATTTCAATCAAGTGATAAATCTAAACATTACATACCTTATATTTACAGTCTTCACCAGCAGATAAAATAAGATCATTGACTGAGTTCCAATCTACTTTTAAAATAATGCCATCATGAGCTTTCCACTGTGAGAAAAAAAAAAAAAAAGATACTAATTATAACTTTAAAAGCATTTAAGTTTTTTTCTATAAGAAAATATACTTTGCCTCTTTTTAATGACTCCCTTGTCATCTTCTCAGGGATCCCTATCTTCCTTTTATAGCTATTGTACAATATCTCATTTGCTTGTTTCATTTGTAATTTACACTAATGTTAGCACCTATAACATCCACTATATAGCTTCCAATCTTATGAATTTCCTCCATTGCCTGGACTCCAGATGGAAAATCACTTGCTGCTGAACTATTTCAAGCTTGACATTTGTGCGATAAAACTGAATGAATATGTTATGTATTCCAAAAATGTCAACTGAATCCAAATCTTGCTGTCTCCTTCATATAGCAGATCTCATTATTGCCTTCATGCTTGTTTACTTTTTTTTTTTTTTTTTGAGATGGGTTCTCACTGTCACGCAGACTGGAGTTCAATGGTATGATCAGGGCTAACAGCAGTCTCAACCTCCCATGCTCAAGCAATCCTCTCGCCTCAGCTTCCTGAGTAGCTGTGACTTGTACAAGCATGTGCCAACACATCCAGCTAATTTCTTTTTTTTTAATTTTTAGTAGAGAAGTCTTGCTATGTTGCCTGGGCTAGTCTCAAACTCCTGGGCTCAAGCAATTCTCCTGCTTTGGCCTCCCAAAATGCTGGGATTACAGATGTGAGCCACCATGTCTAGCACCCAACCTTTTTTTAGAAAACCTTTTGCACAAACATCTTTAATACTCTCTTCATTTCATTCTATACATCAGATTCTTCTAAGTTTCATTCACTTTACCTTCGTGTGTCTGGTTCACAACTGGACTACTCTGAGAAACTTCTGCTGTATTTACCATGCAACAAAAAGATGTTTTCCATAGACAAGTATATATTCTATGTATACAGTCATTCTTTGGCATCTGTGGGGGACTGGTTCCAGGACCTCCCACTGATATGAAAATCGAAAGTTCCTAATATAAAATGGCATAGTATTTGCATATAACCTATGCATATCCTCCCATGTACTTTAAATCATCTCTAGATTACTTATTATATGAATAAAATGGCAATACTATGCAAACAGTTGTATTGTTTAGGAAATAGTGACAAGAAGAATGTCTATACACATTCAGTACAGATGCAATTTTTAAAAAATATATTTGATTCATGGTTGATCTATCAGTGCAGAACCCACGGTTATGCTGACTGTACATACAATGCATAGACGTGGGTGTTTTTAAGTCATGAAGAAACTGGCAATCTAGAAAGTAAACATGAATGTCTCACTCTTAAACATGGATGTCTTGCTCTTAAATGTAATTACTGGGCCCATTTAGCTATTATATCACATGTAATTAAATGTTACCATAGGCAGAATAATGTAACTAAATAGAATTAACTGGCCTAGGTGGCGCATGCCTATAATCCCAGCACTTTGGGAGGCCAAGACGGGCAGATCATGAGGTCAATAGATGGAGACCATCCTGGCCAATATGGTGAAACCCTGCCTCTACTAAAAATACAAAAATTAGCTGGGTGTGGTAGCACACACCTGTAGTCCCAGCTACTCAGAGTCTGAGGCAGAAGAATCACTTGAACACAGGAGGCAGAGGTTGCAGTGAGCCAATTGTGCCACTGCACTCCAGCATGGTGACAGAGCAAGATGAGACTCTGTCTCAAAAAAAAAAAAAAGAATCATCTTTGAAGACTATAAGGTGTATTTTAATGCCTGAGTCAATTAAATCCATTTCAAAGGGTGGCAGATTTTAAGGACTTTCCACTCAGGCCCTGCTCAATCTATTGTTCTTAATGTATACAAGTACAAAGTATTGAATGTGAGCCAAATAAGCTCTAAGAATAAGCAACAATTCATAATTTGGTTTATTCTAAATATACAAAAATACACATTTTCAAAACAAATGTTTTGATAATACATGTTGAAAAGCAATAGTTGTTACAATTAACTATCAAATTAATCCAATATCCTAAAACACACTTCAAGGACAAATATAACAATATACAGCTACACATATACATAAAAATTCTATTTTTTTTTTTTTTAACAGAGTCTCACTCTGTTGCCCAGGCTGGAGTGCAATGGTGCGATCTCATCTCACTGCAATCTCCACCTCCAGGGTTCAAGCGATTCTCATGTCTCAGCATCCCAAGTAGCTAGGATTACAGGCGCCTGCCACCATGCCCAGCTAATTTTTGTATTTTTAGTAGAGATGGGGTTTTGCCATGTTGGTCAGGTTGGTTTCAAACTCTTGACCTCAGATGATCCACCTGCCTCGGCCTCCCAAAGTGCCAGGATTATAGGCACGAGCTACCGCGCCCAGCCATAGACTCTTAAGAGTTTCATTTTAAAGGAATAAAATAAATATTTGCCTATTCAAGATCTATGAACAAAATATGATTTAAATTTTCCTTACACTGTAATTTAGGATATCAACATACATTACAGATAATAGCATACTGTTATGCATATAATAATTTTTATTTACTTATTTATTTATTAGGCATTTTGTAAAATTCCTTTGAACAACAAGCTCCTTGAAGGCGGAAACTATGTTCCATTTCATTTTGACTATCTGATACCACAGTGCCTGGTATATAATAGGTACGCACTACATTTTTATTCAATGAATGAATAAAAATGTCCTCACTATAAAGCCAAGTTCTGGGTGTCGAGAAGGTCTTAAAGGAAATGAGGTATATAGATCTGAACTACATTCCACAAGCAAGAATTAATTAAGCACACTTTTTTGTGGACAATCCTAATTTGAATATGTTTTTATGTTCAAGAAGAATTGCAGCTGCTTTAGTCTCCCAAAAGGAACAGATAATTTGCATGAAATTACTAATTATACTTTAACTCCTGTTTTTCTCTAGCTGAATTTTGGCTTTGGATACTTTCCTTCTCTCCACTACCTCCTGGCCCACAAGTTCTACTGAACCATTAAATCATATTTTACTTGACCAATGGTGATATAATCAGCTTCCTGAATTTCATTTATACAAACCTAATTACAGATACCTAAACAAATTCACATAACTATAAACTAAAGGTATAAACTCAGAGATTCAACTTGCCTATTTTGCTGTATAAATTTCACAGCACATTTTCAGCATAGGTAATTAGCATGGAAGGACTTTGACTAAGGGCTATCAGAACTAGTCCTCTTTTCCAGCTTCTTCCCTTTGACCAAATTCTTTACCTTAGGTCCCTAAGGACAGGGGCTTGTATGTTCTATTCTCGCATGACCCTATAGTTCCTGGAAGAATGTTCTGCACACTGTAAAAATGTACATGTATGTGGACTGTGTAAAATACAAATAGCATAATCTATACAGATGTTATTAATATGGAACCTCAAAGTCATCTCTATGTCCTTATTCCTTGAAATCTAGATTTACTCAACTGTTAAAACACTTCTATACCTGCTATAGCCTGTCAGTGTCTACCAACAAATCTCTTACTCAAGTCCTAGTCATTCTACAATGTTTTCCTGGCCTCCTTGGTTGACTAAAAGGTAGAAATGGCATAATAACTTATAATAGCATAATAATACAGATAATAACAGGTATTCTATATTGAGTGCTTACTGAATGCCAGGAATTGTCCTTTGCACTTTGCAATTTAACTCATTTAATCCTCACAGCAACCGTGTTAAATTGAAATTAGTATCACTAAGAGATGAAAAGACTGACGTTCAACGATATTTTATAACCTGACTAAGATTTGAACCCAAGTGGCTAACTCCAAAGTCTGTTCTTATTAGCAAAACTACACTGCATCATTATCAAAATGAGTTGGAATAAGAAAAAAACAAACCTTGTGGAAATATAAAGATATTCTTTGTTCTGTAATAAAGGCTGATTAAACCATATACTTAAAGACCAGACCGTAAAAAGACCACCCAGAAGAAAGAGACTCCTAAGCAAGTGCCCTCTAGTTTAGCAGTCAGGCAGATCCTGATAACAATTTACAAATGACTGAGAAGTACCTGTAAAACTTTAGCATTTGGTTGAAGAGGTTTAATGATTAGTTGCTTGCCTGCTGTAAAAAGAACCTTTTCTGAATCAGGGCCCCATGCTACTGAATACACTGGTGTTCCTGTAAGATGAAAAAAAAAAAAGGCTGATAAACTTTAATTCTTGTGTCTTATAAAAAGAGAGATTGTTAAGAGGATCAAAAAGCCATTTGAGGTGTCATTTCATTTCTTCTCTTTTAGAACTAGAGTACAGTCTAATGTTGAAATGCAGACTGGGTTAATATTGACCTTGAAAATCTACAATGAGTAACTGACATACTAAATTTTTAACTAATTAGGCTCTTGCTGAGAAAATACAGTTTTTAGAAATTCCATAGAGTGTGCTATTGAAATACATAAGATAAAATTAAATATACTTCATTTTTAATATATAAAGGAATAGCAGAAAAGTCATGGTTTATCATTTCCCATCATCGACAGTCATCAGCATATATTTATTTATTGGCAGCAAACGTTTTTACATTTATTTGCAACTAGTTCAACAAATGATGTTGGTTTTAACAGCAGTCTTGGGGCTTAGCTGCACATTGTAATCACCTAAAGAGCTTTCTTACAATTTTTATTTTTAATTTTTGTGGGTACATGGTATATACATTTATAGAGTACATGAGATGTTTTGATACAGGCATGCAATGCATAACAATCAAATTATGAAAAATGGGGTATCCATCCCCTCAAGCATTTTTCCTTTGTGTTACGAACAATCCAACTATATTCTCGTCCTGTTGTGTTATCAAATACTAGGCCTTATTCATTCATTTATTCATTCATTCTATTTCTGGTACCCATTAACCTCCCCACATCCCCCACAACCCCGTCACTACCTTTCCCAGCATCTTGTTACCATCCTTCTACTATCTCCATGGGTTCCAGAGTTTTGAGTTTTAGATCCCACAAATAAGTGGGAATACACAATGTTTATCTTTCTGTGCCTGGCTCATTTCACTCAACATAATGAATATAGTACAGTTCCATTCATGTTGTAGCAAATGATTGAATCTCATTCCTTTTTATGGCTGAATAGTACTCCACTGTATATAAGTACCACATTTTCTTTATCCATTCATCTGTTGATGGACACTTAGGTTGCCTCCAAATCTTGGTATTGTGAACAGAGTTGCAACAAACACAAAAGTGCAGCTATCTCATTAACAAATTGATTTCCTTTCTTTTGGGCATATATCCAACAATGGAGTTACAGCCATCAGTATTTAAACTGACTCAACAAAGTAACTGAAATTTTCCATATTAAAATACAAATGCATGCTCACCTTATAGATTAATTCTCACACCTGATGCTGTAACAGGCAACAGAACTTCTACTCACATACTGCTTAAGTAGTAGACTAATAGACAGAAATAACTGCATCTCAAAATAATCTAATAGTCATGAATTCACAAATGGCAAATTTTTAAAAATACCAGAATAGGGAAAGTTTTGTTATCTATTAGGTTTGGCTTTAGTCTGAAAGCTTGGCTAAAAAAAGCTCCAATATCTTATAACTAGAATAAAGGTTACTTCCAGAGGAAAAATACAAGCTTGATTTACCTACTACTCTACAAACTACATTACGCTTGATACTGTTTTCAGCTGCCAATAGGAATTTAGAGATGGTATTTTTAAAATCAATTACATTTAAGTATAGTATTTCTTTTTTTTTTTTTTTTTTTTTTTTTTGAGACGGAGTTTCGCTCTTGTTACCCAGGCTGGAGTGCAATGGCACGATCTCGGCTCACCGCAACCTCCGCCTCCTGGGCTCAGGCAATTCTCCTGCCTCAGCCTCCTGAGTAGCTGGGATTACAGGCACGTGCCACCATGCCCAGCTAATTTTTTGTATTTTTAGTAGAGACGGGGTTTCACCATGTTGACCAGGATGGTCTCGATCTCTCGACCTCGTGATCCACCCGCCTCAGCCTCCCAAAGTGCTGGGATTACAGGCTTGAGCCACCGCGCCCGGCCTAAGTATAGTATTTCTTAACTTACTTTCTAGATTACCTAATGTCTTCTGGAAAACTATACTTTATGTAAGCCTATTTCTAAAAAATGACTATCATATTTGTTGAAAGCATTGGATATATAGCAGTAAATAATCTGTATTCCACTTGCCTGGTCCACCTACTTATTCATTTGGCAAGTGAATCAAGGTTATGTAGTTAATCTATTAAATAGTAACCCATTTATATTTACAAAACCAAGCTTTTAAAAATTGTCTCGGACTCCTAAATCAGACTATTATAGTAATTGACTTTCTGTGAATAAATGAACCAATGAATAAATGAATGAATCTTTCAGGAATTTACATTCTTAGTAGAATGAAATCTGAATTTGAGGATTTATGGGCAATCAGTAAGATTTAATTGTTTATTTAAATGAAAAGCCCAACTGATGCTATCTATAATCAAAAGAGAATAAATTTCAGTAAGACAAATGCTTTTATTTAAGAGGTACTCTAAGGGCCGGGCACGGTGGCTCAAGCCTGTAATCCCAGCACTTTGGGAGGCCGAGGCGGGTGGATCACGAGGTCAAGAGATCGAGACCATCCTGGTCAACATGGTGAAACCCCGTCTCTACTAAAATACAAAAAATAAGCTGGGCATGGTGGCGCGTGCCTGTAATCCCAGCTACTCAGGAGGCTGAGGCAGGAGAATTGCTTGAACCCAGGAGACGGAGGTTGTGGTGAGCCAAGATCACACCATTGCACTCCAGCCTGGGTAACAAGAGCGAAACTCCGTGTCAAAAAAAAAAAAAAAAAAAAAAAAAAAAGAGGTACTCTACCTTTTTTGTGCCATTTTCTCCCTAATAAAAACACATTTCAAATGTGAGCAAGTCCCAATGGTTTATAGAGGTTAGAAAGTCTAGTCTAGAACCAGTCCCCCCGCCCCCCCCCCAAAAAAAAAACTCTGAAACATGTCCTCCACAGTTTAGATGTTATAAAGTATCTAAATATCCCATTTAGTCAATGACATCTGGGATTGTTCTGTATCAAAGAAACCCACAGAAATTCTTTCCAATGAGATGACACATCTCAAAAGGTACTCCTCCTTCTTCTGTACTTGGTAAGCATATTTTCTGGGAATATTCTATGCAGTAGTCAGGAGCTGACCTGTGCTTCAAAAGTAAATCTCCAAATGAACGAAGTTCAACCCTAATAAACTCCTACAAAAATATACGTCAAAATTTCAGATATTTCAAATGTAGTTCTTGGTGAGGACTAGAGAGTAGTGACAGGGACTTACTTGTTAAGGTGGTAGAATTACAGATGCTATCTTTATTTCCATTATAATGGTTATAATTTTTGTACAAAAAAGTAAATTAATATGTTTTAATTTATAGCCTATCAAATCATTATGAATACACTTAGTAAAATTATGCTTTCCTGGGGTATATACTAAACTATGACAAACACCTACCCTCAAGGAAATAATTCAGTAAATACAACTCCCATTGAGTTATACAGGATGTGACTTTAAGGCTTTAGTTGTGGTAAAAGGCACAGCTGGGGTATAGAATGAGGAACTAGGGACTCTTTAGTCCTCTTAACTTTAACATTTAATTTGTGGCCCCATTAAGTCAGCTATGACACAGTTTCCTTGTTCATGAACCTTTCTTCATAGTATTTATCTTCCCTTTTCGGACAAAGAGATAATTCATTTCCTGCTTATAAAACAAATTTGTAAACAATAATAATAATGTTAAAGAAACTGGTATAACTTATATAGTAAAAGAAAATAAGCTTATAAAGAAAAAGTTAAGTCATTCCTTTGTTATAACATGTGGTTTTTAACCACATTTCCTTCAATCAAAATATAAGCAATGGAAACAAATATGGAACTCTTTATGATAAATAAGCAAGGTCAATAGCCAGAACTCATTAGTTCAACTCTCCTTAACCACTAAAACTTCAAAATGGACATAACATCAAAAATCTTGATCTTTATTATAATCATTCCTTTCATTTAAAATAAAATATTAAGCATGGAACTACTTATATGTGAATATTTTCTTTTCTAACAGTAGATAAACTACATAGCTATACAACTTTCAATTTGGGTGGTTCTAATAAAGATCATTATTAAAAGTGAAAGAGCTTCACAAAGAAAATAATTTCTATTATTATGAAATCCATCTACCAGCATTTAAAAAATCTAGAATATTTAAAAAATTTTTAAATATACTTATTAAAGCATGAATGATTCCCAGTGCTACACTTCACTTTGCAAAGTCAGCATGGAAATAACAAATTTAGCCTTTGGATTGAATTGCTTTAAAACAAAGAGTTTAGCAAATTATGTAACAAGAAGTTATTATTTCATCATTAACAAAAACGGACCAAAAAACAAAAAATAGCTTCATAATAATTAAATAATTTTTGCTTTTTATATTGAAAATTTTAATTTATGCTCGATTTCTGCTAAGACACTCAAACAGATCTTGTTTTTCTAACTTTGTACACTAAAATCATGTGATCTTTTTGACATTTTTTAAGAAACCACATGCACCTGGGGTTGTGTTAAATGTCAGACCCTTATCTCTCCATAAAACAAATTATCTAAATTCTTTCAACCTGTTGAAGGCATTTTAAACCACAGAAGAGGAGACAAAAATGTATTTCAATTGTTTTAAGGAAGTACATGGTCAAATATACCATGTTTTTCACATTCATACTATAAAAGAATCCCCTAAAAACTTTGTTTTTGTATGTTTTTAAGAATGCCTTTGAAACAAACTGTTCACTACTATAATAAAGCGTTAGCTATCTTGCCTTGAATGCAGTATTGGTCTATACTGAGTTAATAGAAGTAAAGCGCTTGGAATATAGTCTGGCACTATATAGCACTATCCTGTTTACTACTACTACTACAAATTATTTTGTAATGTAATAAGCAACCATTTGCTTACTGCATTGTTCATAGTAGTAGGCATTTGATTTTTTTTTTTTTTCTGTTTTGGCCAAATCATTGGAATTCAAAAACCAAGAATGATTTCCTTTTTATTCTATTTGTAGAAGACATGGGCTAACAACAGTTAATCAAGTGGGATTTATTTTAAAAACTCCCATGC